ACATACTTCATTGCTGTTTATTGTGGTTTTGTGGAATAAATTAATGAACATACTTCATTGCTGTTTATTGTGGTTTTGTGGAATAAATTAATGAACATACTTCATTCCTGTTTATTGTGGTTTTGTGGAATAAATTAATGAACATACTTCATTCCTGTTTATTGTGGTTTTATGGAATACGTTAATGAACATACTTCATTGCTGTTTATTGTGGTTTTGTGGAATACGTTAATGAACATACTTCATTGCTGTTTATTGTGGTTTTGTGGAATACGTTAATGAACATACTTCATTGTGGTTTTGTGGAATAAATTAATGAACATACTTCATTCCTGTTTCACAGAAACCATACTAACAAAATCCAGATTAATAACATTCCCAACCATGCCCAGTGGGATGAGATCAACAGACTACTGGCAACATTTGGTAATGTTCAACAGTGTGATCAAGGTACTGTAGTGTAGTATAATCATTGTTAAAATGTTCATTAATGTGATCAAGGTACTGTAGTGTAGTATAATCATTGTTAAAAATGTTCATTAATGTGATAAATGTACTGTAGTGTAGTATAATCATTGTTAAAATGTTCATTAATGTGATAAATGTACTGTAGTGTAGTATAATCATTGTTAAAATGTTCAACAGTGTGACCAAGGTACTGTAGTGTAGTATAATCATTGTTATAATGTTCAACATTGTGATCAAGGTACTGTAGTGTAGTATAATCATTGTTAAAATGTTCAGCAGCATGATCAAGTTACTGTAGTGTAGTATAATCATTGTTAAAATGTTCAACAGCATGATCAAGTTACTGTAGTGTAGTATAATCATTGTTAAAATGTTCAACAGTGTGACCAAGGTACTGTAGTGTAGTATAATCATTGTTAAAATGTTCAACATTGTGATCAAGGTTCTGTAGTGTAGTATAATCATTGTTAAAATGTTCAACATTGTGACCAAGGTTCTGTAGTGTAGTATAATCATTGTTAAAATGTTCAACAGTGTGAGCAAGGTACTGTAGTGTAGTATAATCATTGTTAAAATGTTCATTAATGTGACCAAGGTGCTGTAGTGTAGTATAATCATTGTTAAAATGTTCAACAGTGTGACCAAGGTGCCGTAGTGTAGTATAATCATTGTTAAAATGTTCAACAGCATGACCAAGTTACTGTAGTGTAGTATAATCATTGTTAAAATGTTCAACAGTGTGACCAATGTACTGTAGTGTAGTATAATCATTGTTAAAATGTTCAACAGTGTGACCAAGGTACTGTAGTGTAGTATAATCATTGTTAAAATGTTCATTAATGTGACCAAGGTACTGTAGTGTAGTCTAATCATTGTTAAAATGTTCATTAATGTGATCAAGGTACTGTAGTGTAGTCTAATCATTGTTAAAATGTTCATTAATGTGACCAAGGTGCTGTAGTGTAGTATAATCATTGTTAAAATGTTCAACAGTGTGATCAAGGTACTGTAGTGTAGTATAATCATTGTTAAAATGTTCATTAATGTGACCAAGGTGCTGTAGTGTAGTATAATCATTGTTAAAATGTTCAACAGCGTGATCAAGGTACTGTAGTTTAACCATTGGGTTACATATTTTAAGTCCAAACATTCTTGTAGAACAGTATTTGAAAGTTCCTATAAAAAATAATTTGTTGGTACAATTTATAAGAATACGAATTAATCTACAAATGGATCTTTAATTCAGTCGTCAGTACCGAGCTATTTGTTAGTGTTGCTAACGATGTTAAATGCTGCCTCTGTTTGCTTGTAGATTTATCAGGTGAGCTATTGGTAGTGTTCTACTTTCTTTATCCTGTTTTCCCCACAGGTGCAGCCACATCTGAGAATTCTTTCAGCGTATCTGTAACATATGATACACCAGATCAAGCACAGCAGTAAGTAGATTGTGCATGTATTGTTTAACACATTTGAGGCATCACTGTTTTTGGTTCAAGTAACATAAGATGCTGTTGAACTTGTACTTAATGTATATTTGTGAATATAGTATAGACACGTCATTGTTTGTTTTTGTTAAAGCATCTGTATTTTACAAACTATGTGATTAATTATGTATTAGATTGGTTATTATTTTCATCTAAATCTATAAACAATATTTCTATCAGGGCCAACAGATCACATATCTTCTGTCTCGTTATTTTAACCCAGATCACATATCTTCTGTCTCGTTATTTTAACCCAGATCACATATCTTCTGTCTCGTTATTTTAACCCAGATAACATATCTTCTGTCTCGTTATTTTAACCCAGATCACATATCTTCTGTCTCGTTATGTTAACCCAGATCACATATCTTCTGTCTCGTTATTTTAACCCAGATCACATATCTTCTGTCTCGTTATGTTAACCCAGATCACATGTCTTCCGTCTCGTTATTTTAACCCAGATCACGTCTTCTGTCTCGTTATTTTAACCCAGATCACGTCTTCTGTCTCGTTATTTTAACCCAGATCACATATCTTCTGTCTCGTTATGTTAACCCAGATCACATATCTTCTGTCTCGTTATGTTAACCCAGATCACATATCTTCTGTCTCGTTATGTTAACCCAGATCACATATCTTCTGTCTCGTTATTTTAACCCAGATCACATATCTTCTGTCTCGTTATGTTAACCGAGATCACATATCTTCTGTCTCGTTATTTTAACCCAGATCACATATCTTCCGTCTCGTTATTTTAACCCAGATCACATATCTTCTGTCTCGTTATGTTAACCCAGATCACATGTCTTCTGTCTCGTTATTTTAACTCAGATCACATGTCTTCTGTCTCGTTATTTTAACCCAGATCACATACTTTCTGTCTTGTTTTTTTAACCGAGACGACATACCTGGTTGCATCCTTAGTTTGTTTTTATATCTTGTAAATGAATGTGTGTTATGAACTAAAAGTTAGGGTTTCAAGTGTTTAATGAGACTCACAAATGTTGAAAGTGTATTGATTGAAAGCCATGATTATAGTACTCATTTTATCTTGAAGTTAACGGTCACCACATCATCACGCTGTAACCTTTCTTTGTCAAGTTTTCTAGGACTATTGTAATTCAAACTTAATTTATTATATCAAAATCCTATATATTATCAAAGCAAAGAGCCTGAAAATATTAGAACTGAAACTAAGCAAGATTTTATCAGGATATTAGTTTAACTTTGGATTTCTTCTCGTCACTTTCAGAGCTTTCGCTCAGCTGAACGGATTTGAATTTGAAGATACAGTTCTAAAGGTAGACTTCATAATGGATCAGGGTCGTGGAACTCGTGGGGGACGCACAAACAAGGGTCCTTTCCGACCTTTTCCGTACTCAGGGAATTCACCAAATCCAATGCGCCCAACAGACTTTCCACTTAGGTTTGTTCCTGTTAACTTTTAACTAACTACAACTAAAAGTACTTCAGAGTTCCCACTGATTCATCTTTGTTTGGATAAGAGCGAAGAAATAATCTGAGAAGAATCTTAATGTTTCAGCTAAACCTTAATAACTTCCTGTTTTTAACGAATGATCGGACAATTCGTTTAACTTTTGAGTTCTGTTGCCGATAAAGATATTGTATAAAATATTATTTAAATAGCACTTTTATAAGTCAAAATAGCATAACTATTGTATTGGCTATTAACTTCATTTTTTGCTGAGATTTTTAATATGTAAATAACATGTAAAATATTTTAGTAAAAAAACCTTAGTCACTGCATTCCTGTCTTTTAGAATTGGTACCAAAATAATATCATCAAGTCTTATGGAATTCAATTTGTTCACAAAGTAATAAAATATGAAATTCATATTTTAAAGACGTATTGTTAAAATATTTCAATCAAGTACAACTTGTTAGATAACAATCAGTGAATTATTTGAATATTTGTAAGCCTAGGTAAGCCTGAAAACTATTTAGGTTTAAAATTCAGCCTGGATACTATTTAGGTTTTAAAATTCAGCCTGGATCTTATTTAGGTTTTAAAATTCAGCCTGGATACTATTCAGGTTTTAAAATTCAGCCTGGATTGTATTTAGGTTTTAAAATTCAGCCTGGATTGTATTTAGGTTTTAAAATTCAGCCTGGATACTATTCAGGTTTTAAAATTCAGCCTAGATTGTATTTAGGTTTTAAAATTCAACCAGGATACTATTTAGGTTTAAAATGAATGAAAAAATGTATTTCTGGATTGTCTAGAAGTGTAAAAATAAGCATCAGAAGGAAGCCGACAACGACAGTAAAAGTTCTGAACCATTAGCAAAGCTCGTGTTTAAACTCGTTTATCTTTCTAGGTAACTGTGAGATAATATTGGAATAAGTTATATAGAGTGTCAGTTTTAGAAATTGTGAACTCCAAATTCAGTTAATATACCAATTATTTTATGGTAATAAATCATACATCTGATATCAGTGGAATATTTGTGTGTTTGTCTAGTGAGAAATTCTGATGGACATTCTTCGCACTTTTAATGGTGGCCGTGTTATAGAAATAACAAGCATTTCCACTGTATGGTTAAGAGTGGCCTTCCCTCTGATTATTTTATCAAAATTAAAGATGGCCATGCCTGAACTATGAAGTCTCTGACCTTGTTGTTTAGCCCATATGTCAAATAAAGAGCTGTTCAGGTCAAAAATACCTTTTTTTTTTGTTACATAACAATTTCAGAAAACATTATTGCAGAATAATAGTTTTGTGGTATGTAAACAAGACGTACTATTTGGGTACATGGAATGTCCTTTTAAATATTTTCTCCCTACTATTTATGAACCACATTGCCCCATGAATCATACACAAAAACGTAAATAAAAATACAGCCAACATAATCGAAACATTAATCCATTTTGTTTATATAAATATAAGGATTTCATGAAAATAGTAATGTCAGAGGATTTCTTTTTTCTAAATTTGGAACCAGTGTTTTTAGTATTAGATAAGACGTGAGGTAATATCAAGTATATATATAAATAAATATATTTATTTATCGTTATGTTGTCATTCATTCAATTCTTCACTTGTAAATGTGTCTCAGCTGAAACTGTTTAAGATTTGCAGGTAACAGACTTTCTGAGAAACAAAGGTGATCCGTTGGAAACGTAAAAATTAATCGGTCTGTTAGGACCATAGAAGTGGACCTTTTTTTAAGAAACATAAATAGATTACTTCCAAATAATCTACTCTTGCTAGGTTATACAGCTTTGGATTGATTTGGACATGATGTCTAAATAATATATGAATAAGCTGTAACTGGCTCCCCTTCACTACCATTACCCATTCATGTGTAACAGTTTCTTTTTTGAGGGTTTTTAAAATTCTTTTACACAAAGTTATCCCTCTTTATTTCTTTAAAAGTCTTATTAATTACTATTTAGGACAACTGAGAAGTGATTAAATAAAACAATTAACAAAGATATATCATAAACTTGTAATAAATAATAATTTGTTTTTTTTTCTTCTAACATAATAGAAAGTTTAATTGTTTATATAAATATTGTTAAATGAGGGTTTATCTTATAATTAGAACCATTGTTTTTAATTTTAGATATGACAGGAAGTAACATCACATATAAAGAAGAAATTTATTTATTGTAGTGTTTCAAATTTCCCTTGTGTTGCTTCATGATAGCTAATTTGAGTTTTGTCCTTCCGTAGAATTCTAGTGTTAAGCGACATGGTTGGTGCAATTATTGGTCGAGCAGGAAACACAATAAGACAAATAACTCAGCAGTCAAGAGCCAGGTAAGAAATTGTATTTACAGCATTGCATGGACAGCTGAATACTTAATTATTTGTTTTATTAACATCATTTTGTTAATGAACTGAGTGAAAAAAAAAATAACCTTAATAATTTTCCCAAAAGATCATATAACATAGAAGTCTAAAATATAAGTAGTATAACGAAACGTATTTATGAAACTTAGCTAGAGTTTATACAACAGATTCTAGATACTTAGATCCTTTACTGGATGTTTCTCTTCTTTTGAGCTCCAAGATCTTGTGATGTATTCTTAGCTCTAGAGAGAATTTTTGTGTGCCCGTGGAAGAGTTAGAGGATGCCATGTTTTCAAAATGATGAAAGAAAAGTTGTTCGTACCACTTACAAAGTAAATTGAAAGAAGTATTGGTTAGAAAGAGGTTTGAAGAAAAGCTACAATTGGCTGCTTATTATTTATTGTTATAGGATGCTAATATACCACTGTGTTTAGAAAAAATAATACAATGGGATTTTAATTGTTGGGATTTTGTAAAACTAAAAATTACAGTATCCAGACCTGTTCATCGGCTCAGAAAAATAAAACCATAAAACAGAACACAACAAAAAGACTGTAAAAAGCAGTGTTTGTATTGTTTTATTCAAATAATATATATTAAAGTTTTGTGTTGAGGAAAGCAGAATGAAAAATGTTGTTTTTATTTCTTATTTGAAAACTAGAGTTGATGTTCATCGGAAAGAAAATGCAGGATCCCTAGAAAAAGTAAGTGTTAAGGTATTAGAACCCTAACGAAACTAAGTGTTAAGGTATTAGAACCCTAATGAACCTAAGTAAGTGTTAAGGTATTATAGCCCTAACGAACCTAAGTAAGTGTTAAGGTATTAGAGCCCTAACGAAACTAAGTAAGTGTTAAGGTATTAGAACCCTAACGAAACTAAGTGTTAAGGTATTAGAACCCTAATGAACCTAAGTAAGTGTTAAGGTATTAGAACCCTAACGAACCTAAGTAAGTTTTAAGGTATTAGAGCCCTAACGAAACTAAGTAAGTGTTAAGGTATTAGAACCCTAATGAACCTAAGTAAGTGTTAAGGTATTAGAACCCTAATGAACCTAAGTAAGTGTTAAGGTATTAGAACC